TTGAGCAAGTTACGTAATCACTCATTAAGTAACTGTATTTTCCCCATAATAATGTCTTACCTTAACAGATAGTATAAGATTAAAAGAAGATAATATGTGTAAAACATGTAATGTGGTGCCTAGTATAGCAAGTGAATATTGATTCCCTTCCTCCACTTTCCTCCTTGATTTTTGTCATAGTTATTTCTAAACATCTTTTCTCTCATTGTTAATAAACTTTTTGATCTTTAAGGGAATTATCTATGTTTTTTTTTATTCAACTTGTATGTCCTCCACAACACCAAACGTAGTTCCTGGCACATGGTAGACATTTAACGAAAATTGATTGTGAATGGTAGATCCAAGAGCTTTGGGAAAGGAAGTTGGGAAAGAGAGAAAACGATCAGCTTTTCATCGTTCTCAATGCCCTGGTCAGTTGTGGATGAATGGATAAAGAAAATGCATGTATATACAACGGAATGCTATTCAGCCTTAAAATGAAGGTAATTCTGTCATTTGTGACAAAAAGGATGAACCTGAAGGGCTTTATGTTAAGCAAAATGAGCCAGGTGCAGACTGGTAAACACTACACGATCTCATGCATGTGTGGAATCTGAAGAAGTTGACCTCATAGAAGAAGCAGAGAGTAGAACGGTGGTGACCACGGGCTGGGGGAATTGTTGAGAGAATGCTGGGTGATATTGGTTAAAGGATACAAAATTTCAGTTAGATAAGAAGAATGCATTCAAGATATCTGTTGGACACACATGCTGACTATAAATAATGATAATGTATTGTAGTCTTGAAAAATGCTACGAGAGTGAAAGTTAAGTGTTCTCATCACAAAAATAATAACTATATGAGATATATGTATTACATATATGTATATATGTGTGTGTGTGTGTATCTGTTAATAGGCTAGATTTAGTCACTCCACATTAAAACATCATGTCATACATAATAAATACATGTAATTTTCTGTCCATTTAAGTAAAATAATAAGCAGAAAACAAAAATGAAAACAAACAACCCCCCCCCCAAATAAAAACCCTCATCAGTAATACCATGTGTCATGATAATGAAACTTAAACAAAGTCTCTGAGGTTTCTGAGCTCTGAGATTTTACAGAACATTATCTGTTTCAATATCTTGTTTCCAGAGGGTTTAGAGAATTTGAATACCGTCTTTCCTTTCACTATAAGAGTTTATTTACATTGACATTTAGTCTTTGGGGAAAATAGACAGTACTAACCTAAGGCCATACACAAGGTATTTTATTTTAATTTGTAATGATTCATTTCTAAAGTTAACTTTAGTTTTTAACAGTTGAGACTGTCATAGAAAGTAATTCATGGTGGTGGTGTGTAATGCCACGCTGCTTAGAAATCAATATTCTGCTGCTAATAAATAACTTAATTGTAGAAGCTAGTTATTTTGAAAACCTTTAGGATTCTATCTTTATTCTTTACAAAGATACATTGACCTTTCCTTTGGTCCCCCTTGTCCCATCAGTATCTTTAATTGAGGATAATGAAGTATTAGGACCAGTTGTAAAGTAAAGGGTACCCCTTCCATTCCAGGGCCATTTTTATTGCATGAAACCTTTAGCGTTTCAAAGCCCTATTCCTAACTCCCCTTTGGAGTCGCATGCAAGCATAAAGGAGATATAATTCCCTAAGGAATTTGGAGGACTAAAGTGCCATGCATATTGTATATTACTCAGTGAGAAAAAAATGTAAGAGAAAACCACATGCAAATACCATCAGACAACTGCGCAGGAGGCGTGAGGCGTCCATCTGTACTTTCTCAGATGCACTTGAAAAGCAGTGGAAGATGTCGTTTTGCCTTTTTTTCCCCCAAAATATGTTTTGGGTTTTTTTTTTCCTGTTCTGATATTTTCATTGTAATTTCACAATGTTTTACTAAAATTTACAAAACTCAAGCTGTGTATGCCTTGTAAGGGGCTATTCCTTAATAAAATACATTTTGGGGCAGTGTTTAACTTTCTATTCACATGTTTTTAGTTACATACTAAGCTCCTTCTAACCTAACACTTTAGCAATTCCCATATTTCATGTCTGTGTTCCAATTTAGCCTTTTCAGATCTATATAGTCTGACTTGGGGGTGGGGGAGGACATACACATTCTTTAAGAAATTTGAAAAGTATGTGCCCTTGCATGCATGCAGAGTGTGTGTGTGTGTGTGTGTGTGCAGAAAGTCTTTTTCTCAGTACACAAAAGAACTGTCATATTAAACTAGTAATCTCTTCAAACCTGATAAATCATGCTACACTTGCAAAGTATTATCATCCTCTATTACCTATATTTTATGTGGTAGTTATATGTTAAAGAGAATGGAAGGAAAATCTTAATGTTTTAGTTTTTGTATTTTATTAAGGAAATAGAAATTTGATATGCAAGGCTCTATTGTCCTTCAGATAGTCCATATCTTTGAGTACACATAGTATAACAGCCTACTTATTCTACACTAGTCTATATTTCCTTCCTGTTACATGGTAATTTGTGTATTTAAATGGTATAACATCATCTCAAAGTTTAGTTTCAGCTTAGAATTCTTTCCCACTAAAACTAATTGAAGAACTTCTGTTGCCAACTTTGTGCTATGCTTCTTTTTTTCTTTTCTTTTCTTTTTTTTCTTTTTGCAGTTTTTGGTTGGGGCTGGGCTTGAACCTGCCACCCCCGGTATATGGGGCTAGTGCCCTACTCCTTGAGCCACAGGTGCTGCCCTGTGCTATGCTTCTATCAAATACCTTGCTCTCAATTCTATCTGAATAAAGGTGAATACTGTGTAGCAGTTTATGAATAATTAAATTACTCCTACTTTGCTTTGTATGTTTGGAAATTTTTATGACTCCCTGAATTTATTCATTTTTGTATCTCACTTTCTTTATAGAATGTTGATATATAAAAAATGCACAATAATTTTTTTTATTGGGGATTCATTGAGGGTACAAGACGTGTCACACACTGAGTCCCCACCATCCTAAATTTTGTTAAATGTATTTACTTAATAATTTGGATTTAATGATAATTTTATGTGTATTGATGAAATGACTGTGCCTTCTGAAATTATCAGCTTTTAGCAGTTTAGTTTTAGGGAAACATATGAAACATTATATAGGGTTAATGGTGTGGGCTTCAGAGGCAGATAACTGGGTTTAAATTGTGTTCTACCATGTATGACTTTGGCTAATTATCTAACTTTTACCCTTCAGTTTATAGTCTTTTATTGTAAAATAAGGATGGTCATTTTGACTTAATCCAGTACTTAAAACATGTATAGCACATATAAGTATTTTTATTAAAGGGCAGTTTATGCATGCACAAACATCCACATATATACCTCCTCACGCCAGCACTCACACTGAGGCAAAGCCATAAAGACTTGATCTTACATTTATATGTGACACTTTACCATTCAATAGAGCAATCACCTCAAAGCATTTAGACATTTAGAATAAATAATTCAATATTAAACTTAAATTCATGAAAAGTAATTATCACTATTAGGTTTGGTTATAGAGTAGGACTCTATGTAAAACATGTTTATGTTTTTAAGTCTGCATAACTGTCTTTAAAAATAGCAAAAGTTTTAGTTCAAAATATTGTTCTTTAGTGAAATAAAATTAATTCACATTGAAATGTTTTAGACATTTAAGTTTTACTTACATTTTTTAAAGTATGTTATATATGGATATATAATTTCACACGTTTCTTTAATTGATAATTTTTATATCCTAATCAAAATTCTTGATAGGCTAATTTTATTTTCCTTCTGAGTATGTCTAGACATCTCAACTGGTATCACATTTCAAATATAATATATTTCTTGGATAATGTGGAGATTAAAATGGAGAATGCTGGCTCAGCACCTGTAGCTCAAGCACTAAGGTGCCAGCCATATACACCAGAGCTGGCAGGTTCAAATCCAGCCCTGGCCTGCCAAACAATGGCAACTACAACCAAAAAATAGCCAAGCACTATGGTGGTTACTTGGGAGGCTGAGGCAAGAGAATCACTTAAGCCCAGGAGTTAGAGGTTGCTGTGAGCTGTGATGCCTTAGCACTCTACCTAGAGCAATAGCTTGAGGCTCTGTCTCAAAAAAAAAAAAAAATATGGAGAATACTATCCAATATCAGCTAGAAAGATAGTTTCAGAAGCATTTGATTCTGTCTTCCTTCTTTTGGATACCGTACATTTAAACCCAGTAACACATGACTGCAGGAAAATTTACTCCCTCCCTAAGTTAATGTCAGCTTTTATACATCAAGGTTTTTTCCCCCCAAAAATAATCAGCTCATTCAGTGCTAATTATCTAAGATCTTATATCAGGCAGAATCTATTATAATAATCCTCATTTGATAAATTTTCTTTCATTGCACAAATTTTCATTCAGTGCTAATTATCTAAGATCTTATATCAGGCAGAATCTATTATAATAATCCTCATTTGATAAATTTTCTTTTTATAAAAAAAAATGTGGTTGAAGACCAAAGTTAATACATCCTTAATTGATATAAGCAAATAAATATAATTAATTACATTTTTGTTTAGAACAGTTATAGCACACCTTTCTTGAAACATTATACCTGGCCCCCTGGGTATGGAGCTACTTACAAAAAAATAAACATAGTAGAGTTTTGCATTTCTGGAAGACATGTTACGTTTTTCTCAGAAAATGGAGCAAATAAGAAACATTAAAAAATAAAAAATGTTCTCCTTGCAGTAAGCTCAGCACCACCATTTGCATTTGTGCAAGTAATGCATGCACAAGACTCCTCAGCCAAGGTGCAGGTGCTATTTGAGATCCAGTTCCTGCTCTCTGGCCTAAGTGTAAGCCCTGACTGCATCTGTTCAGAGGAAAGATGATTGATCTATGACTTATCTATGATTAGTATAGTTCCAATTTGGCCTAGTCGAACCCTGAATAAAGTGTATGCAGTTTAATCAGAAGAAAAGTAACCTGAACCTTTGTGGTGGACATAGTGATCTGAGATAGGATGGACATATTCAGGAGGAATGTAGAGTGGACAGTGGGCAGAGTCCTGCAGAGTAGCCACAACCACACAGAGAGCACACAAGTGGTAGCTGAAACTGTGGAAATGAAGGGATACCAGAGAGATGGAATAAGGGAAGAAAAGACAGGGGTAAGCAGACGGTTAGGTATGAAGTGCAGAAGGGCAAAGTCCCAGGGAACAAGACCAAGAAAGCCTTTCAGGCTCGGTGCCTGTAGCTCAAGCAACTAAGGTGCCAGCCACATACACTGGAGCTGGCAGGTTCAAATCCAGCCTGGGCCCGCCAAACAACAATGACAACTACAACCAAAAAATAGCTGGGCATTGTGGTGGGCACCTGTAATCCCAGCTACTGAGGAGGCTGAGGCAAGAGAATCGCTTAAGCCCAAGAGTTGGAGGTTGCTGTGAGCTATGATGCCACAGTACTCTACCCAGGGCAATAGCTCAAGCTTCTGTTTCCAAAAAAAAAAAAAAAGAAGAAGAAGAAAAGAAAAAAAGAGAAAAAGAAAGCCCCATCAGACAGGAAAAGGCCCAGATGAGAGTGTTGCCAACAAAGCCCTGGAGGAGTGATCAGTCCTGGGAAATGTCCCCGGGTCTACAAGTAGGAGGTCACTGAGTAACTTCAGTAGCCCAGGGGTTTTCAGCAGCTGGGCCATGGTTTTAGTATTGACTCAGCATTAAAAATGTGGGGAGAGTGAAAACAGAATATTCTTTATAAAAGTGTGGAGTCAGAGAGCAAGGGGATAGCAGCCAAAAATGTCTGCCTGTATTAGAAAGACGAGAAAATATAATTTTTTCATGTTCATTTCATCTCCAGGAGACTGTGTAAAGTTGATTTACTCTTTTTTTCTTTTCATCTTAACCCTTCTGAACTAGTGTCATGAGTCAACAAATGAGAAGTTGTAGTGACCCCAGAAGACACAATTTCTAGCTAAATTCTAATATACCTGCATAAGCATTCACTGGAAGCATGTGGGACACACTTGCTTTGACTTTTTTTATTGCTATTAGAATATTCAGGGAATACTAATTTTGGTCCTGATGTCTTTTTATTGGATATTTACCATGTATAAGGCACAAAGCTACATATTGGAATTAGGAAGAGAGAAGGGGAAGAGAATTAACATTTACAGATCATTTGCTCTTTTAATTTCTATACTCCCAAATGAAGTCATTATTCTTTGATCCATCTTACAGATATGGAAACTGAGGCATGAAGTGGTTAAGCAACCTGACCAAGGTCATATGCTAGTACATGTTAAAGCCCCCAAAGTTAGTGTGTGTTCTGTTTCACTATATACTTCTCTTCCTACATTCAAAAACCCTGGTGTTTATTAAGAAACAAATCTTATTCCCAGCAAGGTAAACTAATTTTCGTAAAAGAGGTGGAAGTGTTTTAGAAGTTCAAACACAGGGAAAGAACATATACAAAGGAGGAAAAAGTGAGACTTAGGGAACCAGAATCCTTGCAATGAGTCAACAACAAATGGCTATACATAGGTGATTGTGAGGGAGGTGGAGATGGGACTTAACTGCAAGAACAAACATTCTCAAAATTCTACTACATTAATTTTTTTCTAAGTAGCTCCATTAGCTTATATTTGCCAGGTGAGAGGTTTAAGAAAGATTTGCTATAATTATTCCAAGCAAAATGATAATTCCTGGTGTCAATTCAGTAGAAAGAATGACAAAAGCAAAGATAACGTGAGAAGACTGAGGGTCATTCTGAGAATAGCTGGGAGCCACGGGTAGCTGGGGGAAGACTAGGGGAGATAAGGCAGAAAAGAAGTCAGGAGCAGGTTACAAAGACTTTGAACACAGGCAGAAGTGAGAGTTTATTTGCTAAGACTCTGAAGAGTCTTTTAAAATAAAGCTTTAAATTATATAAATACTAACAGGAATTTTCAAGCATTCTCAAAAGGAAGAAAAAATAGTATCGTATCATGCTGTAGACCCATCAGCCAGCTTCAAAGAATATCTATCAGTTGCTAATCTTAGTTCATGAATTGATTTCCCTCATTTATTTTATTTTTACTGGTATGTTTTAAAGCAAGCACAAGATACCATGTCATCACATCTGCAAATACTGAAATACGGGTCTCAAATTGATAGGGCCTTTTAAAATGTAGTTGTCTTTTTATCATTAACCTTCATAAAGTTAACAGTAATTTCTTACTATCATCAATACCCAGTTTGATATATACCCAAATTCAAATTTTCCCAATTGTCTCAAAAATGCCTAGTTTTACAGATGCATTGAATCAAGCCGCAAAGTTCACATGTGGCATTTAATGATAGTCTCTCTTATTCTGTCCTGGTCTGTCCTTTCCTTATTGTTTCATGTTGTCAGCTTTTCTAGGGTATTTATTCTATCCATGTATATAGAGTGTCCCCACATTCTGGATGTATTTAATTACTTCTTTTTGGTGCTATTTAATTTATTCCCCTATTTTCCTGTATTTTTTTAAACTTCAAGTTACATTTAGAAAATTGATTCAGTTTGCCTAGAACTTTAGGAAAATCTGTTAGAAAGGTGTACTATACTTCTGAGTCCACTATGTCAAGGTGTGCATGATGCCAGGTTAAGGTGTCCCCACCTGCTTTCTCGTAACCTTCTGCCCAATGCATTTTCAACACAGTGAGGGTTGTTGCCTATAGCAACTTTTTCATTGTGGATTGAAAAATGGGCCTCTGAAGTTTTTTGAGCTGAGGAATGATAATGTTCAGAAATACGTTCAGAAATTGTTCAGAAAAATTAGCCTGACCAAAGTATGTGGGATAGAGTAGAAGGAGCTGAGAGCAGGGGAGGCTGATAGATTACTCTAGTTATCTCAGAACAAGGGTGCTGAGCAAATGTGGAAAGATGGACATAGATTCAAGAAATTCTGTATAGGATGGAGTCTGTACATCCTTGGCAGTACATTAACTGAATCAAATGCAACAAGATTTTAGGTTTGGAAGAGCAGTGCTGTGTTTAACAAAGATAGAAAACGTGGGAATCGTGACTTGTTTGCAGTAGAAATTGAATTTGGTTACCTTAGAAATACGAACAGTGAAACCTAATCATTTGTACCCTCCTATTAATATGAATTTTGAAAAATCATGGTACCCTTAAAATAAGATTTTTGTTATAATTAAATTGTACTGTAACAAAACTATTAAAAATGGTAAGTTTGGTTTGAGAATGTTGAATTTGAGCTAACGATGGCATATCTTGGCTTAGATAATATGCAGATATGATAATATCTGGTGACTAGCTAGGAATGCAGGATTGTAGTTTGGAAAAGAATTTGGGCCATAAGTCAGGTAATAGTTAAAATCTCGAGGGTATATTTAATAGCTGATAAAGGCAGTAGAGTGAAAAAAGAAAAGGTTTAGACACAAAATTTGGCAATATGATCATTTGTGTTTTTTTTTTTCAACCCGTTCCCCCCAAACTCCAGTTTATTTGGTTTTAGTTTAGCCCAAGATAACTCCTGTCCAGGGTCTGCACGATGGCTCAGCAGTTTTCCTTCCCATAACTCAGCTTTCTTCTTTTTAATGGAAAAATGCCCCAAGACTAATAGCATTTCAATTGATGTTCCTTTGTTTTCTCAAAACCAAACTATGAAAATATACTTTCTTCCTTTTTACCCCTCATATCCCCCTCATTTCTCTTCTTTCCATGACTAATCTATTATTTAGGGAAGTTGGTGAAGATGGCAAGGAAGAAGACAGGTATTAAAAATGAGGGAATAGTGGGCAAATGCAACTTTTCTACACCTTGTCTTTAAAAGAAGGTGAATGAACATGCTTGGATGCCACAGAGAAGAGTCCAAAGGAATTGGACAAGTGAGAAAAAGGACAAAGCAGGCAAGACTGGGAGGAGGCAGGATTACCTTCACTCCACAGAGGACGGAGGGTGAAGGCAGAAAAGTCTGAAGATGGAGAGTGGGACAGCTGTAGAAGCTCATATTAAAAGTGTTTGATTATCTTAGCCGTGAGCTGAACATGTGAGAGATCCAACTTACGCTGGAAGCCTGAGAATTGTAGACGTGCCCGAAGATTCAGGTGCTCACAGCCTCCTCTGACAGTTGTTTTTCTTCATCCCTTCTGAATATCTTATTGTACTCACAAAACCTACATTCCTTTACATACAATACTACAAATGAAGCAAAGATTCAAGCTGAGTTCAAACCAAGTTTCTTAAGTAGCCTGGGTAAATGTATTAGGAAACATGATGAAATCTTGACTGTAGATTAAATCCAAAGTTTAAAAATGACTACATCTCTGAATGCATTTGAATCATATTTAGGACAGTGGAGTATTGTAGGATAACTTACACCATGAGCTGTAAAATCACTGGGGCTACTATGGGCTTTAACAGAGCAAGTTGATACTTTCTTTCGACAAAAGGAATGTTTAGGATTCCAAGTCTTTCACCATGGAGTTCATTTTAGTTGACCTCTTAAAATAAGTAAAAAAAAAAAAGAAAAAATTCAAAGTTAAACAAAGACATTTTAGCAATCTCTTAAAACATAGAGGCAAGGAGTGATACTAGGAAGGAGGGACCTCTTGTTTTTGATTGGCAGGAGCAGTAATTTGACTGTATTTAATTTGTATTGTGTTAGAAAAGAAAACCAGAGTGAGTGTCCCTGATTCCTGCTGTTTTATAAGCCCTTAACTCCATTGAGGTACATCAGTCTTACTTTCGAGAGTCCTTTTTTTAATGTTTAGTATTTCTAAGTTTTCTTTAGTGCTGGACCCCACTAATTGCTTCCTTATGGCAGCTGCTTATGATTTAAGGCTGATCATGGGCACATATAGTCTCTTATTCAGAGCTCAAATGGACATCGCAAAAAAACTTTATAGTTATGATCTTAACCACAGAAAATGCCCAGAAAATAATGGCCATAAAAATTTGTTTTCTGTAAGTGGGGCTGGTGATATTTTACTTTTCTATTTATACCCACCCCCTTTGGCTTGGTCTCTTGTAATCCTTAATGCAAAATGAAAGGTGTAAACTCTAAAGTTATAAATCTGTTTATAAATATAATTCCCTTCCCTGGCTTTGCAGAGTTTGACACTATAATAAACACAGTTTTCTGTAGCAACATTGAATCTGGTTCTTCTATAATTCTTTATATATTACT